GAGACTCATCGAAAATAGGATGAAAGGCTTCTGGGGATTTGCTTCGGCGGCGCTTTGATGGAGCATTTCACATGCAATTCTATTTGGAGCAAAATCCCAGCTACCTTGTCGGAGGAGATAAAATGACACCTTAGAAATGGAAACACTTGGAGGCCAAGTTCTAGATTATGCGCTAACATGAAGTGACTTCATACTTGCAATTCCCAAACATATTTGACTCATCTTAGTGTTCCGAAGACTTTCCTCTTTGGGGTCTGATCACGTGAAAGCAAGGCGTTTTGGGTTAAATTCTCCATCTCCAATTCATGCTTAATTTGATTAATTATGAAAAAACCCCCAAGTGGATTTCAAATTGGATCAAATTAAGGATGAATGGCCTACTTGGCCCACCAAACCACAACCCATGGGAGTTCTCCGACAGTGGCTTGGGTACGAAATGAGCCCAATTACGTCACGGGACGCAAAGGATTAGGTTTGGACCCTAAATGGGCCTGGTACAAAAGTGTGTATCAACATTAGCCCCGTTGGTCACGTGAGCTATGTAGTGTAGCGAGATAATCCGTGCGAGTAATTCCCATAATCTGCATGTTCATCGTTGGGCTTTTGGAGATTCATTGAAGATCTACTTCAGAGGGCTCTCCATTAGTGTCGTCATCGAGTTCCTGAAAATAGAAATAATACAGTGTCTCTTTTAGAGCTAAACATTAGAAAACTTTATCCATTAGGTGATGGAGTCGTCTAGAGCAAGGTTGGCATGCCGAGTTTGCTCTGGGGAATATCTTCGAAGAAGAGATGGCTAGAAATCTGCAGAAATAGGCCTTCGAAGTTTAATGAAGGGAAATTGCAATCGAAGCACTCGTGGATCTTTCAATGTCCACTAGAGGTAATGTTAATATGACGAGATATTAAATAAGAGTATTTCTCATAATGAGATTATGTGGAATAGAGCCACAAATACAATATGAATTTCTGATAACTTTCATTAAGTATAAAAATTATAATTGAGTCTATAGATGGTCATATATGGAACGATCTTAATCTTGAGTTCTTAACAAATCCTTATATATGGATTTATGTCTTTTGATTTACTCGGTACGGATTCTGAGATCCTGATTCCTATTCCTTATATTTTGGAGACATGATGAAGTAGATAGTTGGGAATGTTATTATACGAGATGAAATCCATTCATTTTTTAGAAAGAAGCAGATAAATAATTCTCTTGAGAGTTGATTCGGTACTTGTACCAGTGGGAACTCTGATTCATGAATTTGTTTTATGAATCATTGTCTATTAGAGAATCAATAGTACTCAAGGATAAAGATATAATTAGAGAGGTTAACGGATTTCACTTAGCTCTAATTATGAATTATTTATGGATGATTGATCTATATGCAGTGACTATATCAAATGGACACTTCACAGTTTAGAAGTAATTTTATATCTAGTTTATAGTAAAGTAACTATTGGAATTAATAGAATTAATTAATTAATTAATTAATTATGCAGTGACTATATCAAATGGACACTTCACAGTTTAGAAGTAATTTTATATCTAGTTTATAGTAAAGTAACTATTGGAATTAATAGAATTAATTAATTAATTAATTAATTAAGTGTTTAATTAATTATTAATTTTATTAGAGCTCAGAATTATAGGTCCATGAGCCCCCGCGTCGTCCTTGCAATTCTACAAGACACTAAAAGGGAAAAATGAGAATTTTAGAATTACGAAATTTTAAAATTAAATATTAAAGGATAATTAATTGAGAATTAATTATTATTTAAATAATGTGATTATTTAAATTTAAATTTGAATTTTGGAACACACATGTGAAGATATTCACATAGTGTGAACGTAAACCTATATGAAATTATTCACTTAACTTATTTGATAAGTTGTTCAATTTAGAATTCAAATTAATTTGAGTTTGACTTAAATTGGAATTTAAATTTGAGTCAAATTTAGACTGTTAGATAAATGCAGAATCTTACCCTAATCCCCTCTAGATATGCGCCTACCACAGGGAGGGGATATCCCTATGGTGGCCGGCCATATAGAGATAAGGGAGAAGAAATTTCGTTCCAAATTCAATTTGAAGTGAGAGATAAGTAAGAAATTTTATCTTGGAGACAAAGTGTAGACTGTTTTTTAGAGTCTGACTACTACTTTATAAATAGGAGATTGCAGAAAATTAGAGGTGACAATTTTTGCTCTACTAAGTGTTAGGGGTTGGTTTTCTATAGAGAGTGGGAAGGAAAAACTTTCTCAAAAAATTTCACGTCGTGTATGTGTTAGTATTCGTGGAAACCTTGAGTGTTCTTGCTAATCCTGTTTTGTTTTAAGTGTGCCCACACACACATTCTTTGTAGATTCAAGGAATTGACGGGAAAATTCGGGTGTTCTAAACTAGCAATGGAGAGAGAAACGTTTGAAGTCAAAGAACAGAAGTTATTATCCTAATCGGGTGCTAGATGTAATTCCTAATCCTATTCTTGGTAAATAAATTAATGTGATTAATTTATTCGTGCATAAATTAATATAATCTAAAGAGTATCTCAAAAATTTTATAAAACTTTTTATTATACGCAATCCGCTATTCACACGATTCCGCATCTGAAATCATTTTGGAAACCAACAAAAAAAACACAAGGTACCAATCTACAACACAAGGTATTCAAATGTAATTTTTCCCTAATACTACTTGGCTCCACATTTGATCAAAGATCCAATATATAGGTCCAGTCGAGCGAGCAGCAGTGGGAATTTCAATAGCCATTTTCAACCAAGCATCAAAAATAGCCATTTTCCCACTAGTCAGTATTACAACCTCCTTCGTTGCTGAGGAGGAAGCAACTGAAAGATTAGTTAATATTGAAGCACCAGAACATGAAGAACTCAAAAGGGGTTCTTTTGATTGCAACAAAGAACTTGAAATGGAAGAGCTTATATCTCTAATTGGTAACTTTATCCCTCCATGTAATCCACTTAACGTTTTTCTTGAACTTATTCTTTCACCTTTTGACATTCTGCAGTTTTTTCAACTAGACCCTGCTTCATCTTTAAGAAGCGGTAACGCAAAAATTCTCAAGCTTGAACATGTCAGAAGACGTATCCCATCAGCTATGGTTATTGGTAGTGTCTTAACGGAAAAATCATATATTTCAATGTGTGAGTGCACCAAATCCATAGTAATGGAAGCAAGAAGAAAATCAAAAAGAAAAGAAAAGAAGAGAAGAACACAAATTATCTTGTCCGGTCAAAATTCAATGGAGAGAGGCGGACGGAGGGCAAAAGAGGGTGGAATAGAGGCGGACAAGAAGAAGAAAGAAGCGACTGCTGAGAAGAGTCGGACGGAGGGCAAGAGATGGCAAAAATCCGAAAAGTCACTGTCTCTATTTCGATGGAGAGAGGCAGACGGAGGGCAAGAGATGGCAGAACAAAGGCGAACAAGAAGAGGAACGAAGTGACAGCTGAGAAGAGGCAAGGAGAAGCGGAAATTTGGGCAAGACCACAAGGAGAAGAAAGCAGCGGCAGATAGAAAGGGAACAAGCAGCATAGTTTTAGGGTTTGTTAAACTTAAGTGAGTATATATATTTTTATTTTTAATTTTTAATTTTTTTCCTACGAGTCACTACGAGTTCAGATCAGGTTGGACCCGAAATTGACACGCAATTGAATTGTGGGTCAATTTCAGGTTGTATGAGTCTAACCGAAAATTGTGCCGTTTTTTTCGTGTCAAAATCGATCGACCCGATTTCGACCCGCACCCTATTTTTCTCAACCCTAACCTGCAATTTTCGTGTTGATTTTGATTCGTATTGTCATGTAGTGACCCGTATTATCGCCCTTAATCATATATGATGGGGAAGGAGGCGGGTATGAGAAAGGCTTCCCCAATAGAGAATTCCCGACTTTGACCCTGCCCCTCTTTGAGTGGGGATGGGGACAGTTTAGGGAGGCGGGGATGGAGATAGGAAATCTTCCTCCGTCCACCCCGCCCCATTGCCATCCTATTTGCACGCAAGATTCTATAAGAATGAAAAACCTAATTATTAGGATCATTTTTTGGAGGGAAAAAAAGAAGAATATATAGTATGGCAAAAAGATAAAAAGAAAAAAAAAAAAACTTGGAGAGAAAAAAGAAGGAAAGTAAAATAAAAAAAAGAAAGAAAAAAATGTTTGAGAGACATTTCGTCAGTGGATGAATAGGGTTTAAAAAAATTTAGAAAGGATATGTATGAGAAGAGATTACTTAAAAAACCCAAAAGAATTGTTAGAAGCATAAAGCAAGAAGGAAAAAAAGGGGGGGAAAAACCTTTGAAAGAAATGTTTTTTTATTTTTATTTTTTATCAGCTTTGAAAGAAATGTTTCGTTAGCTTTGGGGGCATCTAACGAAACTTAAAGAGACGTTTGGTTCATAGATTAAAATCATGTGATTAAAAACATTTTAGTGAACTATGAACCATGATTCAAATTATAGTTTGAATCCTCCAACCAAACGTATTCTCTCTTCGTAATTATGTAAAAGATTTTTGCTCAATCACTTCATTCCAATGCTTTGTGCTTCTTTGGCCTTTTCATACCAATCTGTTCAGCTTTTTCTGATGTTGCAAAAGGATAGTAATATTAATGTTAAGCAAGAGAGCTAAAATTCGTATAATGGAAGGAACACATCAACAAAACATAATGTGACGAGAAAGAGAATTCTATTTACCGTAAAAAAAAAAAAAGGGCAAATAATTTCTTTTACACGACTAACACTTCTCGGATGAACTAGTAATACCTGTTTTCTTTTTTTCGTCGTTGATCTTATCAACAGAAGAGCATGCCTCCCATGTTATGCAAGTAAAAATGAAACATACTTTTGTAACCCTTATACAGGTTTTCAGTATCATCGCAACGCAATGATAAGCTCTTGTTGATTAGGGCTTTGCTCAATCTCTACAAATACCACAAGTTA